GCCATTGGGCACCAACTACTTCGCCCCTTAGCAAATCATAGAATTTGTCATTCCTGTAGGTGAGCGAGAGTGTATTGCTATGATGACATTGCTCAAACTACCCCTCAATATTTGTGTTCTTTTTTTTTCTTAATCAGATGTTGATTCTATGCATGAATGATTTAGGTAGCCATGCATAAAAAAACATTAGAAGTAATTATTACTACGGAAAGATGTTAATTCATTATGTTATTAACGCAAGATAAGATTTGAATGATATATTGATATTGGTCAATGAGACAGTTACCCAACGACACCAATAACAAAATAAAGCTGGAAGTCAATATTCTGTCTTTGCATCAAAAGACAGATGTCTCAACAATATGTTAACATGCAAAGTCTTAAAAATCAAAATTGAGACGTTATCAAGATAAAAATTCTCCCGATGACAAAATCATTATAATAACACATGTACACTACCGACGAGGTTTTTGACTTGGAGACTGACAGATCTCAAAGATAGTGTATAAAAGATTTATTATGAAGCAAATAAAAAAATTGAAATCAAATGAAGAAAATAGATAACGAAGTTATTTCAGACAATGGCTATTGTTATTGTAATATTTCAAGTGATGAAAATTACACATATAAAGATATTGGTAATTTACCAGGAAATTATTTATATAAAGATATTGGTAGTTTAATACAAAAATAACTGTAACATCACCGGGATCACAGAACTTTGTGTTCTAAAGCATGAAAGAGTTTTTAAAAAATACGAATTTTGTAGAATATGAAAAAAAGAGGCGATAGATATCAAACGGGTATTCAAACTCACAAGTCGAGAACAAACTGGCATTGCCTTGGCAAAAAAAACCCCAGACAAAACGATAAAAAGACATACAGCAGTACACAAAAAACAAAATAGAAAACTAAAGACTGAGCAACCCAAACCCCAACAAAAACTTGATCTCAGGGTCTCTAAAATGGTAAGCAGATCCTGCTCTACATGTGGAACCCTTTTTACTCTATGGAAATATACCATTCCGTAGATATTGTTTATTTGGTGTGAATAAAAGACGCGAAGTATATTTAAATGTGACAGCAACCCAGATATTGTGCTTGACCAGTTTGCCAGACTGACAATTCTCTGTGGATGTTGTAATAAGCAAGGTTTACAAAAATGACACAATAATTTCTTATGACGATTCTGAAAAACTGAGAAATTCTTTTAGGAAGAATCATTTATTGAATTAAACTTTCTTATCGTAATAAAATGCGTGTCAATCAAAGTTTTCGACAAAATGTACCAATTCAAACTCTTTATGTCTGTTGTTTACTTTGAAATTTTTTATATGTTCGAAGATCTTTCTTTTTTTTAGAATCTCGTTAAAGTTTTGAATTATTCTAAATTCTCCTGTTTTCTAGAGTTTTCAAATGGACTGCACAATTACAATATTTCACCTCTTTGTGAAGTCAAAATAAAAAAATCCTTTCACTTCTATGTGTCATTTTTTAACGTGTAATAGCAATAGTCATAGATCAAAACAATACAAAGCGAACTTTCTATCTAAACTTTTCTTTCTCTGTGTTTTCTTCGTGAGAGTTTCCAATTATTAAGCTATTACATTTTATTAGGGATGTCAACTCGGTGAACAATTACTAATCGAGTACTCGTTGGTTTTATCGAGCGATACTCGAGTAATCGCTCGGGAATATATCTACAACACGGAAACACCAAAATACATATTTTAATTACATTCTGTGGTTTGTTGTTCAACGGACGAAAAGCCATCTACATAAGTATCTAGGACAAAGAATTACACACCATCATTAATAGCTAATTACCTACAAGTACTAAGTATGTGAAAACAATACTCTAATCAATATAATTTAATGAATACCTATTTGAAAATTATAACACGGAAAAACCACACCAAACAATAGTATTGGGTAATCGTTAAGAAAAACATATTTAATGTTTACAAAGGATTAAGGATTAAAAGTTTAACTATTCACTGACGGTCGACCTAGGATGCAATGTTGTTTTTTTTATTTGGAAACATTTTCTTGTCAACTATTATTTTGGACAGTTGGTTTTGCAACTTTGTAAATTACAGTCTTGCAGACATGTTTAGTTTAAAGTGGTAGCCTAGGTATAGCACACTTACTTTCGGAGAATTTTTAATGACAGTTTAACACAAGCATTCGAAACAAAATGTATTTTATTTACTAGTTTGATTAATCAGTGATGCCTATTTAATTTTCCGAAAGAAGATCAATTTCATTTAAAGAAGACGGCAATATTTTACGGGAAACCGAGTAGTCGAGTATCGTTTTGGTATTCGATACGTGGTACTACCGAGCGACTCTTGAATACTCGAGTACTCGTTGACATCCCTACATTATATGGTCATATGCTCAGGATTTCTTGCAGTTTACTGTCACCTCTTACTCATGTCCAACTCAAAAGACGGGGACACTTTTTGTGACGGATTTATATACTCGGTGGTGTTGATACTAACGCCTTTCTCTGAATTACCAAAAATTAATTTATCATTGCGGTTGGTCGTACATTTTTAGATACGTAAAAGGACAACAATTTAAAGACTTCATTTTCAATGTTTTTTTCCATTTACCTTTTTGCTGTGCATTTCTGATATTGTAGCCAAATAAGTGCAAGGTTTCTCTATTTTCAAGGAAATGGCCATTTACAACTTTTGTCAAATATTTTGAAATGTTATTTCGCATCTCGCTAAAAAGTGGTTGCTTTGATATGAAACAGAAAAAAGAATAAAGTGTCTCATGATAATAGGTCTGGTTAGCCTTGATCCTTTTATCATTTATATCATACTTATATCACCAGTTTTCTAGTCGATATGACCACTAACCGCGTTAATCCTCATAAAGATTATCTATCTTCTGAATAGACTGTAATAAGATATGGAACAAACAATATTAATACAAATACTAGGCAATAGGATGAACGGACATGGAGCACAACATACTTATCCTTAAAGATTTTCTTTTTTTCTGAATAAGTTGTTGTTCTGTTTGCATCTTATGGTGCAAGAAATGGAACAGGACAGGACTAACCGTCAGGGGCAACTGTTTTACCCATAGTTTGATTGGTATGAGTATTGCTTTGAATCTTTATTCTAATACTCAAACTGACACTCTCAAGATGTGTTATTGATATATATGTGCGTACACACAAGGAAGCAATGGAACATGGGTATATTTACACATGTTGCGAAGAAAACAAAAGTACAAAACAAGTAATTCAAAATTCACAGAAGTTGTTTGTTTTGTTATGTCTTTTACTTTTGTTCCTAATTGATGGAATTGTTTGTCTTTATTCTACTAAAGGTCTTGTATTGGACTCAATTGGTATCTTCTTGACTTTTATGAATTATCTTCCATGAAGGTGCATAGCTTGTCTACTTAAATTTTGACACTCTGTTTTTCGAACTTGCGAAATATAGTTGAGGATGTCACTTCCTAACCTACTAACTGGTAGTCGTTGTATTATAGTGACAATATAAATTTTGTGGTAGATCGCATTACACGACAGTCATAAACGAGGCAAAATTGACATGCGTGCTGCTAGAACAAATTGAAACTAGTAGTGTTCATCTATAAAACAGGTATTCCGTAACGGACAATCATGTTATGCTGTTGCTCGTAAAATTGTAGAAGAGATGATTGCAGTTTATCCATCAAGCAGTATTGGTTATACATTTTTTATTGAAAGCAGCTACCTTCTTGCAATGCATCACTAACATAAAAAACAAGCTCTTTATTATCTCATCTTAGAGATATAAACTACTGAAGTATGATTTGAAAAGAAGTTCTAAGATAGCAGCTTAAAGGCATTCAAATTTTTTTCATCTCCTATGAGTCTCTGTTTTCTACTCACACATATTTTGTCAAGTATCTTTTTAGAAATTTAACTAAGAATAAAAGAAATGTTAAGTAAACGTAAATGTAACAGTAGCATACACAGCCTATACATATACAAAAAAAGAAAGGGTATATAAAACATGTTTAAATATGGATGTGTACTAAGGATCCCATGAGCCATAAAAGTTGAAGTATTAAAAAATGAGGAAGTTGTTATGAAAAGATATAACTGATAAGTGTCTGGATATACCTATAACTTTATTTTCTACTAAAAATTACAAAAAATGTAAATTTTTACACATTTTGGTGAATCGGAAAGATTGAGCACATTATGGTCTCAAGTACATATCTATATTTTATTTATTTTATATGAAGAGGTGTTATTCTTGTAGACAAAAGATATAGTAAATTATTAAGTTGGTACTCTCATGTGAGCTATATTTGCGGCTCAAACAAATATTTGAAAATTAAAATGAATGCGTGTTCACAATGAATGCGTTGCATAGAAGGACTTTTTCAAACACCACCACTACATCTATTGCGACGACATGTATCGTATAGTATATGTCTTTTTATGTAGTATGTCCTCGTTTTAAAAAAGCATGTACATGTAACTGGATAATAAACTCATCATAGATACAATGATTAAAATTGTGTACGCCAAACGCGCGTTTCGTCTACAAAAGACTCATCAGTGACGCTCGTGAATTTTATTTTAAAGTGGCAAAAAATAGTACGAAGTTAAAGAGCATTGATGACTGAAAAATCCAAAATGTTTTGCCAAATACAGCTAAGGTAGATAATATGGGTTAAAAGTTCAAATTTCAGTGACCTAAGAAGGTTTATAGTAAAACATTTAAGTGGAATCATTAAAAGTTTATCAGATGATACTATTTTGTATGAATTTTTCAATCACTGGAACACCACGACCGCTCTAATTATTATTAAAAAAAGGAGGGGGGGGGGGGGGGGGGGGGGGGTTCCAACAACATCCGGACCCCCTTGGATCTGCCAATGATGTATTGATTGAGTAAACTATACTTGAGGCCACGATATAAATGAGGAAACTAGCATCTTTGAAAAATATATATTACAATGTTTAATAGTTTTATAGGACAACGAAAAACACAGTCAATTTATGTACACATTTCAAATTACATGAGTTAGGTTTTGGACAAATAATTTGAATAAAGATATTACAAATTGCATGAGGAAAAAATGTCCGAATTTTCATATTCAGTATCTATGATAAATATTTACAGCTTTGTTTTCTGGTTGTAATAAACATCTGCACAAAAAAATCGTTCGAGGGATGTCTCTCCTTTATGAGTTCCTATATTGCGATTCAGGATTCTTGTTGTGGTAGAAATTGGTTAAAAGACAACATTTTGCTCATTTTTTTCCAATTGAGGATTTGCTATTTACACAGATTTCCTTTTACAAACTTTTCTGTAAATATTTGCTACTACGGCAAAAAACATTGAAGCGTCAAAACTAATAATCATTACCAATGGAATCAATAGCAGAGCGACACCTACATAACCTACAAATGCAGCAGACGGTCTATCGTCAAGTGCTGATATGCGTTTTCTGATATTAGCAGACATGTTTCCTGATTCGATTGTTAAGTTGGTCTTCATTTCATTCAACTCTTCCTTCATCATTTCTTTAAGATCATCCTTTGTTAAGTTTAGCTCTTTCAAATGTCCCCATTTATAAACTGAATGAAAAATGTATCTTGTAGATTCGATTTCAGGCTGGTTAAAATTATAGTAAATATCTAAGATTCATTAATATACAATATAATAATCTTCTAGCATTCATTCAAACATCTGCTTTATATCATAAACATAAACTCGCCAGAGAGCAATTTTTATTGTTGTCGTGAAGCATCCAAACAAGAACTTTGATACCCTACGAAAGGCTTAATGTAATATACTTGACAAAACAATGGTTATGTATAAAAATATTACCAAAAATACCAACTCCAAGGTAAATTCAAAAAGGGGAAGTCTATTAAAACTGACAAAATCAAACGTAAGACTATATCAACCAACAAAACAAATGGAAAACAATTGTGATATTCCTGACTTGGTACTGGCATTTCCGAAGAAAATTGTGGTTTAAGCCTTATTTTATTGCTAGCTAAACCTCCAACTTGTTTAACAGTCGTTAATAATTCCGTTATATTGACAAAATTGGATGAGCAACCTAAAAAGACATAATTGGTTAATGTAACAATAATTGGAATCCAGCAGCTAAAACTATGTAAAAATACGTCACAGATATACAACACAACTAACAAAACAATTAAAACAAACATACAAATAAATCCGACAAAGACACAAAAAAAAGTTTTGGTAGTTGATACGACATGATATATAAATAACTTATAGCTGGCAGGGTGATAGAGCAGATTGTTACCCCGAGAAAACATTGTCAACCGCAGCAAAGACAAGGTTGAAAATGTCTTTTCAAGGGGTAACAATTTGCACTATCACCCTCTGAGCTATGTGTTATTCAATTTATATGTTATTACTGTCATATAAATTTCATAAACTATAACGTCTTATACATAACAACCATCCGTATTTAATAAAGCTCACTATGTGGTTAGACATCCTAGTACTCGGTCTAGTAAGAGCAACCCAAAAAAGTAAAATCAAACATATAATCAGTGCAATTTAGGGGGAAAATTTACTGTTTTCCGATAATACTGTCGTGTATAGAAAACATAATACAGGCAATTTTCTCCCTTAATTGTACCGATTGTAAGCGTGATTTTACTTCTTTAAGCTGCTCTTACTTGACCGAGTACCAGATCATTGACAATTGATTAAGCGTCTCCGTCAATGGTAATAGAGCATTTGGCATGGGATAGAGTATATTGTCTCCTTCGTAATAACCAATCAAAATTTCGCATTTTGACTTGAAGTATGATAAAACATAATGCCATTCTAGTATACACTTTCCAGATAAACTACAAATTAAGTAATATATACTCGACAAAACAATCGATGGACGAAATGATGGCGCATTGATGTATTCCTGACGTGATTGGCTGATAATATTACCTTCATCGAGCCGACGACTCGTTGAAGGAAGTTTTATTTTACCTAACATTGCACTTGTATGACAACTTAAACTACTTCGAAAGCCATCTCAGTTGAACAGAAAACGTCAGACACAAAGGAGACATAGCTGAAACCCAAAGAAAACAAATACTTAAGATTCTATGTAACATCATGATTAACACAAAATTAATCATTTCAATCTGGACATAACATACACTATATGACAGAATTTAAAAAAAAATATAAATCGATGTTAGATAATACATCAAATGCAACAATGTACCACTGATAGAACTCAAAAAATGGTTCTGCCCAGTGCTCTCAGAAAACAGTTCATTAAACTTCATCTTCTGAAGTCCCAGCCACCAGAGCCCAAATGACTTAGAAGTTCACAAGTATAAGTCCCCGTTTAGCCTTCAATCATGACAAAACCCATGTCGTATAGTAAGCTGAAAAGATCCAAAAAAACGACAAATTTTAAGCAATTTAAACGAGATAACGCTATGAATTTTATATCTGTTCAGTAATGCGGAGACCATACATGGATGTTTAAAACGGAAGTAGATAGGTCTGAAATCTGAAATTGTCTCATACTTGGTAACTTACAAATTTTTAGGTCGGTACAAAATATCAAGAAGCTCGGTTTTGTAGATGCGGTGAATAATTCAAAATGAAAGTGTTGTTGATGGATGGGATAACCTACTTTTCTGATCAAATTTATTGTTCACAGTTTATATTTTTATATTTTGTTACCCTTAAAAAAACAACTGGATAAAAATCGTCGTTTATAGGCAACAACTACAATAAAGATTCTGCTTGTCAGTGCATTGTTTTCATTATTTAAATCATTCCAAGGAATTGCTGGTTCAAACTAATTAACATCGTCTCATTTGCAACCATTCCAAATCACATAATTTTTAATGCTTTGTTATGTCTTGATAAGACACATTGAACAAAAAGTATACTATTTATCAATTAAATTATTTCAGTCCAATTAATACGCGCTTCTTCAAGGGGATTATTAAGTTACACACAAAAGCCTTTTAAAAAGACCATTTAGGCTTTTGTCATTACTAAGTGGCCGTCGTCTTTCTGTTGCTGTAAATTAAAAAAAAATCTTCCCCTATGAAACTATTGGACTAACTGTTACTAAATTTTCCCAGAATGTCCCATAGGAAATCTAGTTTAAAAGTGTATTCATGGATGTAATTAATTACAAACACTACTGTTGTTTCTTAATATCGAAGAAAGTGGCAACATGCAGTTTTTGACATCTATCGCAAAATCTAAAGCAGCTAATACAACTCTGACAGGGGTGAAATGACTTGCAGGTCAAGGTCTATCTAATATGGAATGTTTATAAAATCTGAAACTTATCGATAGATTTTCATAGATAGCAAAATACGTTGATTAGTCAATAATGACCAGAACAATAAGATCTATACAGAAATTGTCATTGTAAATCGAAATTATAATAAACAAAAATGTTCAGTAAAATACGATTTACAAATAGGTCAACATGGCTGAAATCATCAATTGAAAAAGAATTTTACCCCTATTTAGCGTTTTTTTGCAGAAACTATAATAGATAGATCCCAATTGTGAATAACGCAAATGTTCAGCAAAACAATCTAGATATAATTCAACATCTCCTAAATAGTCAATTGACTTCATTTAGGAGTTATTACCCTTAAAATACATTTTTTACCATTTTAAAAGTTTTTTTTATCTCTAACGGGAATTGTATGCGCAGAAACTATAAAACATTAAGAGACAATTGTAAATAGTCGACATGTTGAACATAATAAAAGGTTTGAAAATAGGTCCACATGGCTAAATCATGGGAGTACGTGTCCTTTAGGAGATCTATACCCCTTAATGCATTTGTGTTTGAAAAACTATTATCATGATTATAGAAAGAGAGAAATTGTAAATAGGGAAAATGCTCAGCAAAATAAGATCTTCAAATAATTCACGTGGTCGAAATTGTCAATTGATCATTATAGGAGTTAGTACCACTGAAAGACAATTTTTACCATTTATATTTAATGTTGTTTTGCAAAAATATAGTAGATAAAGAGGAGTTGTGATTAGTAAAATTATTCAGAAAAATAAGATGCACAAATAAATCAACATGGGCGAAATCAATAATTGATCCATTATCATTATCATAGTAGTAAGTGTCATTGAAAACAATTTTATCTCTTTTTTGCGTTTTTTGCCGAAACTATAAATGATAGAGTGAAATTGTGAATAACGAAAATATTTAGCAAAAATAAAATTGTAAATACCAAAATGTTAAATATGATATGATCTACAAATAAGTCAGAACGTCCTAAATCTTCGATTAACCAATTATAGGAGTTATTGCCCTGGAGAGACAACTGTTTCTCCATTTTTGCGTTTTTGCAGAAACTATAATAGGTAGAGAGAAATTGAAAACAACGAAAATGATCAGCAAAATACGATCAACAAAGAGGTAAACCTGGCCAAACTGTTAATTATGCCCTTATAAAGGATATCCCCGTTTATATCAAAAGACTATTTATCTCATTTTGTTTATGTTTTGGCCGATATTATAATAAATAAAGAGAATTTGTAAAAGGCAAAAATATTAAGCAAAATAAGATGTACAAAAAAGTCAAATGGACAAAATTGTCAATTGACCCCTCATAGGAGTTATTGTCTTTGAAATACAATTTAAAGTATTTTTTTTATTTCTTGGAGAAACAATAATAGATGGGGAGAGACACTGTAAACAGCAAAACCGTTCAGCAAATAAATCAACTTGGTCGAAATTGTCGATTAGTCCATTATCATGCTTGTGGGAGTTATTGCCCTTGAAAGTAGATTTTTTACCCTTTTTGTGTTTTTTTTTTGTAACTATAGTAGATAGAGAGAAATTATAAAAGAAAAATAATATTTAGCAGAATAAGATCGAAAAATAAGTATATTGGTCGAAATTGTCAAGTGACAACTTTTAGGAGTTATTCTATTGGAAGACATTTTTACTATTCTTACTTAGGATTTTTGCATAAAACATTTGAAGAGATAAACGGAGACTCTATCAAGCAAAAGCGTTAAGCAACATGATCTATATATAGGTCAACTTGGCCTAAACGGTCAGGTGACCCTTTTATGAGTTTTGGCCCTTGAAAGACAATTTTTGCTAATGTTTTTGAGTTTTTTTTGCAGAAACTATAATTGAGGATAGAAATCGTAAAAAGCTAAAATGTTCAGCAAAATAAGATCTCTAAATAAGTCAAAAGAACCGACATTGCAAATTGACCCCTCATATTGTCAATTGAGTTGATTGACCGTTATCGAATATCTGTGTCACAGATGCGAAATGATCTGTACTAATTATGGTTACAACAATCCCGATCTCTCTTCCTGGATTGTGAAATCACTCGATTTTTACTTTTCATAAGAAACATGACGGCTGCACACTAGTGGAGAAGGATCTGCTTATTCTCTCGGAGCACATAAGATCACCCCAAATATTGTTTTTGGTTAGTTTTCTATGAAGTGTTTTGTGGAATATTTTTGTTTTCTTTTATCTTTTTCAGTGGCGTAGTCAGTTTTATTTCGACGTTTTAATGTTTCCTTGATATCTTTCGCCCCTTGTTTATAAGAGTTAAATAGCCTTTTCCTGTCATCTCATAAGCTATAAAAGAAAAGTAGAAACTTGGAACAGCAATAAAAGAAGTACACAAATTATAAATTGCAAAAACTGCAATCATTTGATGACTGGATAAGGGGACACTGGCCTACAATTTTTAAAAACTTATTTTGGGTTTCTGCTTTTTACTTTGAAAACTATAATGATACGTAGGATTTCGACAGTAGATTAAATCAGGCTCTAATGAACCTTTTGTTTTCTTTCCCTTTTGATATTTTCCATGGTTTGTAAATCAGTTAAAATTCAAAAATAAGTTAATATTGACATCAACTTATCATTTAACTTTCACTTTTAATAAAACTGTTTCTTAGCTATATGGATTTAATATACCTGGACACTCTTTAATGATGCACTGAACAGAAGTCACATTTTCCCCAGCACATTCAACTCCATTATTACTTGGAGCTGGATTATTGCACCTTCGTTGCCTTATCTGCGTCCCATTGCCACAAGAAGTTGAACAGTGACCATCATCCTCCCAACAGCTCCATGATCCTACAAGTATTGATGATTTATCCAACAAATTGAATACTTTGGTGTAAAATTACTGTTATAAATTGAAAGTATTTAAATAAAGCGTACGGGACTAATTAAATGATAAGTCTGTGTCCTTGTTTTTGAGATATAGGACATTGAAAATTTGACGGGAAATGAAAAAATTATGAAAATATTACAAAGATTTATAAGATTTTCAAATAGGACTTTTGAACCATATGCAATAAATTTATGAAATGGAAAGTAAGGGTTAAAAGGCACAATTGTAATGGAACTACATTGATAAAACCAGAGTATTCCGAATATCTGACAAAACGTTTAAAACGAGATAATCGAACATCCTTAAGATAAAATAAGTGGCACAGTGGAATGTGTACATATTTGCGATAAAGATAACATTGAAGGAATGTTCTGACGATTTACTAATATACTACCTAGTATATATATATATTTTTCATTACATATATGACACCGCTTGAGGACGTTTTGTCTCCGCTGTTACCACCAGCTAGCTCAGAAGTCAGCACTTCTGTGCCGACATAAAATATAATTTATCATCAATAACATTGCAAAAAATTTAACCGTTTGATTGTTGTTGTTTTACGCAAACTTGAGCAACCTTGGCTTTATCATGGTTGTTAGTTTTATAGGAGGAGGATTAAAAAAGAGCTCAGTAGCCATGACTAGAAAGAAAAAGACAAACAAACAACAGGACACAAAACATAACATAGAAAACTAAAGACATATCTGTTTTTCGTTTATTGTATTATACATAAATCAGACCATTAGTTTCACTTATTTTACATTTGTCATTTCGGCTCCTTTTATAGCTGGTTGTGCGATTTGAATTTTGCTCATTGTTAAAGGTCATATGATGACCCATAGTTGCTTACTTTTACATCATTTGGTATCTGGTGGAGAATTCTCTGATTGGCAACCATACCACATCTTCTTATCTTTATATGGTTCATACGATGATGTCACTGGCAATTTAAGATACAATGTAGCTCCATACCTGGACATCCACGTAGGTTGCATGTTCTGTTTTCTATGTTTTCACCATCACAATCAGTAGCCAAATGGCCCGGTAATGGATGGTTACATTTTCTGGTAAATAGCATTTGTCCTTCGTCACAAGAAGTAGAACATTCACCAAATTGTGTCCAGTTGCCCCAAACACCTTGAATATATTAAATGAAATACCCTGTATCTCAGTGCTTCTTTTAAAAAGTCCTTGTGAACTATATACAAACTCCCAATTCATTTGTACCAGACTAATATCAATGGAGATGTCCTTTATATCGATTTTACAAGTTGGACAGTTAGGAATGTGGTTGAGAAAAACATAGTTAGATATAAGAAAATGTGGTATGAGTGCCAATGAGACAACTCTCCATCCAAGTCACAATTTGTAAAAGTAAACCATTATAGGTCACAGAACGGCCTTCAACACGGAGCCTTTTCTCACACCGAACAGCAGACTATAAAGGGCCCTATAAATGACTAGTGTAAAACCATTTAAACAGGAAAACCAACGGTCTAATCTATATAAAAAACGAGAAACGAGACACACTTATGAATATCTTGAACAAACGACAACCACTGAACATCAGGTTCCTGACTTAGGACAGGTGCAAACCAATGCAGGGGGTTTAAACGTTTTAATGGGCGCCAATCTTCACCCTACCTGAAACAATAGTGTAACATCACAACATAGAAAGACACACAATAAATATCAATGAAATGATACACAGATGACAACAGATATGTTCCAAATGTCGTAACTACAATCCCATCCCCTTTTCCCCCAATATGATCTGCCGAGTTAGACTCATCACCAGGTTTGTACTAACACGACGGGTGCCACATGTTGAGCAGGATCTGCTAACCCTTCCTCAGCACCTGAGATCGCCCCCAGTATTTGGTGGGGTTCGTAATGCCTAGTCTTTGGTTTCTATGTTATGTTTTGTGTACTGTTGTTTTTCTGTTTGTCTTTTTTGTATTTCAGCCATGGCGTTGTCAGTTTATTTTCGACTTATGAGTTTGAATGTCCCTTCTGTATCCTTCGCCTCTTTTTTCGCACTTCGCAATTAGAAAAGCAGGCAGTGTTCTTCATTATTTATTCTGTACTTATATTTACATGTACAAAGATATGTTTTGTCATTTTGAGCTCATAGAGAACATGATTACATAGTCATTTTGTATTTAGATTTCAGTATCGTTTAAATTCAAAAGCTGAAATATACAATTTATATATATAGATCTTTGTATGATCTGCTCTGAACATCTCACCATAACCTTGTTTTTGAGAGACATGTTTACACTTCAAAACAAATAAATGACACACCGTTAGCTACCGCTGATGAAATGTTGTAAATTTGTCAGATATTTCTTTTCGGAATCTTGCATTGAAATTGTTTAGATCGTCCTCAGGGAAAATATATTTACAAACAACCCAACAATGACATCGTATGTATATACCTGTACATCCTGTATGGCCTGTGCATGGTAACGTAAAGGACTTAATATCATATGGATCACACCTTGCATGAAACGTTTGAGTTCCATTGCCACAATCATTTGAACAAACTTCTAGTAAATTGTAGCACACTACAAAACAAAATTTTAATTTCATTTCCTTTCATGTAAAGTTTAAATATTTTTTTAATGGTGTTTCGTTTTGAACAAATTTTAGTAGAGTATTGTTAGTTAACTCATGTATATTGCTAAAATGTATCAAACTCTCCTTTTCAATCAATAAGACTTACTTACTTACTAACTTACTTACTAGCACACAATTTTATTTAGGGGCCAGCCGAGGACCACCTCCGGATGTGGGATTTTCTCGCTGCATTGAAGACCCATTGGTGGCCTTCGGTTGTTGTCTGCTCTTTGGTCGGGTTGTTGTCTCTTTGACATATTCCCCATTTCCATTCTCAATTTGATTCCTGTCAACACATTTTGTATACTAATATTTTAGTCTAGGAAGCCTGATTCAGTATTCAAATATAATTGGCTATGGAGTACCTTTCATTAACTGCGAGTACTCTCAAGTCGGTACTTTGCGTCTTTTGTCTCATTTTGTTAAATGTTTGTTCATTGTGTCGATCTAGTGAGGCTAACTGATTTTTACACTTTTATTATTTATTTTATGAAAATAAGAGGAATTTAGAAATATCTGTCAACCCACGACAAGTACACCTGAAGGTCAACAAACATTTACGGTTTAAAAAAAGTTCTAAAATTATAAGTATATGTAGCTTTTAATCGAGAACTGCCATCGACCCAAGATTTCCGAAATGTTGTACTGCTATCCCAAGTTGGGAATGTTTGAGCTCGCAAAAACGTTTAACTGACTCCGCCACATTCGGTAGGTGCTTGTTCAGTAGTTGTTATTGGTTGATTTTTGCCATAATTGTATTTCGTGTATGTTTTTTTACATAAATCAGGCCGTTGGTTTTCTCGTTTAGATGGTTTACTTTTCATCATGTCAGGGCATTTATAGCTTACTATAAAGTATGGGTTTTGCTCATGGTCAAATTCCGTACGGTGACCTACAACTGCTTTCATCTACGTCATTTGGTCTCTGGTAAATCTGGTAAATAGTCCCTTGGCAATCATATGACATAAAGCAAAATTTTCGCACATTCTAAAACCCATGACAAAGCTAAGTGTAATGGTAAAAGCACATATAACGTAAATGAATAATAGTGAGTGTAGGTTGTATTTGTCGCGAACTAATACATCATACCTTTTTTCTATCATCCTACTTACTAAAATATAACAAATTATGTTTTTAATTTTTCTGGATTTGTCTTTGAGTAATCAAAGTAGATTAACATTTTTTGATAGTGAAATAGTAGGAAAGGAATGTTACAAATTCCGTTTGAAAACTTATATTGTATTGCAGAATGTTGATATTTTTTGTGTTAAACTATAGTGAAATTCTAAGTGGCCTGGTAAAACATTTGCAGATTGGAAAACACAACTGACATAACAATTGGTATGCTAGAATGGTGTCTTCAACCTTTGCCAACATTTGCCAACCTATACAAACAAACAAAATACAATAGTTGTTTGGGTTAAGTATGTTAGTACTTCGCTTTGTGTAAATAGAATGACGTGTGTATATTCAAACTCTGTTTACTAGCCTCACTCAACACGCGTTACATCATTGCTAAATAAGGATATTACGTTAGATAAATTTGTAATAATAGGTGTTATTATAAAGAGAAATTATGTACTTCTGGAATTACTTTTCGCATCATGCAGACGAAATTACGGAAGTTGAGGGAAATAGTGACGTGGAAAACATTGGATAAAAAAATGAATGTCATGATGCAACATTGTTTAATTGCTTAGATATAGGCTGTACTTAATTGTATGTCTGATTTTTAAATTCTCATAGCAGTATTCTAATAGATATGATCTAAACGTCCAATTTTGTTCAAGACAATTCTAGCATAAAATGAGTAAGCACAAAAAAAAAAAAAAAAACTCCAAGGAAAATTCAAAACGGAAAGTCCTTTATCAATTGGCAAAATCAAAAACTCGAACACATCGAACGAAAGGAAAGCAACTGTTATATTCCTGACTTGGTACAGACATTTCCTTATGCCTAAAATGGTGGATTAAACCTGGTTTATAACTAGCTAAACCTCTCACTTGTGTTTAGTCTGGGAAGGACACCAACCTTATTTATTGTACTTCCTGATAAGTCAATTCGTCACAAAGGTAAGCGTCCGTTTTCTGAATAGAACTGATTTTCCGTATAAGCTTGACTGCAGTCACTATTTGAATCAATACTTTTTAAATAAATAACAAACAAAAAAACCTACAAAGAGAGACTATAGAAGGTTTGATAAAAAAAATCTGGATCTTGTCCAAAATGTTTCCTTTCTATCATGTCTGTAAGCCAAATGATTTGAAGATTTTTTAAATTTTTAACTGTCAAATTCTTCAAATCAATGTATTAGATTCACATTAAGGCCTTTAGCCCAAATAGGTGTATATAATTAAAACCATTATATTATTGTCAATTTAAAATGATAGTTTTCAATAACTTAGGAGACGGGTCTTTCAGCAATTTGACCATATGTTATTGAAAAGCATAATAAAAAGTAAAATAACAAAAATACCGAACTCCGAGGAAAATTTAAAACGGAAAGTCCCTTAGCAAATGGCAAAATCAAAAGTTCAAACACATCAAACGAATGAATAATAACTGTCATATTCCTGACTTGGTACAGGCATTTTCTTATGTATAAGATGGTTGATTTAACCTGGTTTTATAGCTAGCTAAACCTCTCACTTGTATGACAGCGGTGCAGGGTATCCAATTTCATTTAACGACATCTTGTTGCAAGTTATTTTAAATGTTTATGAACAATAATTGTTATAGCAATTTGTTAATGGAATTAAACGTAAATTTGTTTCGGATATTGTTTGAAAAATTTAAAATGTTATATGAGAATGCCTGATTTTGTCGACATGTTCATTAATTTTTAACATCTAATTTACATTTAGGGTATCAATATTATCATTACAATTTAGATGTAATCTAAAATACGTTTCTGAAAAGCAGTCCTGTCTTATTCTTTTGATAACATGTGCAAAAACACACAACATTATATGCATACCAGTGTTTTCAACTGTTTTTTTTCAGAATACTCGTATACTGGTCATATTTAATATACCATCAATATAGAATGCAAAATTGAAATTAAACAAGACTTTGACAGATCATGCATTGAGCCCTACCTTTTTAATGGTGTAAATATAAGACAAATTTACAGAAAGGAAAATGTTTTTCCCAGGCCTGCCTTCATATGAAATTAAACAAAAATATCAAATATACATCCAAAATAAATCGTGAAAAATAAGTTAAAAATCCGTTTCATTTGTGAATTTCTTTATATACCAGATAGGAATAACCATCAAAGATACATTTTACTAAGTATTAGTTAAACTAAATAGGAAATTAAAAAAAAAAAAACAAAAAACATACATACATACATACATACATACATACATACATACATACATACATACAAAACAATCAAGCGAAAAAGCCTTTTTATTTGTCAAATTCCTTATTTATCAGATTTTGAACAACTATAAAATATAATTTTAACTTATTATTTTGTTACATTTAATATCAAATTAACAGGAGCAGGAAAT